TACAACTACATGGATGAAAACTGGAACACTTGTACGGAGATGTGGGTCATGTACCAACGCTCACGGTTGGCACATTTGCGCGTCCACACGAACAACCATTTAGAGAATTGGTTTGGGCATTTTAAGGACGGGGTAAACTCCAACATGACCATGACGGACACCGTGAAGGCCCTTGTGGGTGCTGATGCCAGGACTTCCAGTGAATACGTGTTCGACAAGACTAGGATCGGGTTACGTGTCAACCGCAACTACGACGAGGAGATGTGCCAAGTTTTGCGCTTTACGACGCATTTCGTAGCAACACACGTGGAGAAGGAGTACGTAATGGCATGTTCGAAGGTCGACAAGTTCAATTTCGACTTAAAGTCAAATCCAGGCTTCGTGGAGGTGACGGGTAAACACAAGACGCATGCTGTGGATTTGAAAACGTGGAGCTGCACTTGCTCGTTTGCTTCTGCAATGCGTCTGCCTTGTCAACACCGCTGTAGCGTTCGGAAGTGGAGTAACGCCCCAGGAAGCGTAATACCGCTGAGTTGCATCGATGAAAGGTGGGTTAACTCACAATTTATCCACGTATAAGCCGTGAGTTGTCCATGTAATATCCAATATTGATGTTGTACTGAGGGTCTGACATGTCATTCATTTAGATGGTTACATCCTGCTGAACAACCGATGACTCCGCGGCCTTTTGTGCTTAATGAGTTTAAACCAGGGGAGGCGAAACACAAGGTGCTTGACGCTAATGTTAAGTACAAGGAGGCAGTCAGCGCGTTCCAGGCTATATGCAGTGAGCTAGCCGATATCTCTGATGACGACGAGTACCGTGAGCATTTAGACTTCGTCGTGCAACAATGGAGGAACATTAGGCAGCGCAAACGTGTAAAGGTTGAAAAAACGAAGGTTCCAGTCACGAGAGAAGAAACAGAAACAGATGAAGTGACCTCTCCAGTGACAACCAGCCGAAATCGAACCGGAACCAAGCCCGAAATGGAGCAGCTTGCGCTTGAGACCACTCCTGATGACAACGAAGAGAAAAATACTGATAGTGGATTGCGCATCCGTCTGAACCCCAAAGCTGCGACGTCTGGTAGGCCCCGGTTGAACAGAAAGGAGAGAGAAGCAGACGACAAGAAGAAACGAGCGTTGTTTAACGAGTCAGAAGCCCATAGAAGATGTCTTGGAGAGGTGACATTAATACAACTTGCGCGCAGTCTTCAACTTGAGAAGCCTCCACTTTAAGACACTCTACGTCGTGTTCTGCCACTCCAAACCAAGTACAACAACGCGGGTAGCAAGAAACCCAAGTACACTAGAGAGAGTGCGCCTGTGCTGAATGAAAACGCGTTCTACCTACTTCCACCCAAACTGTTGGACAAGTGCGTTGCGGTGCTGCCTGTGAGCAACACCAATGAAACAGCCATCGATGTACTCACCCAGAGTCAAACTACACAAAAAGACGAAGAAACATCTACAATACCTGGACAAATCATGGACAGCAACGGACAAAACCCGGAGATCGAGTGTGTCTACATCGCGGGTATCGGAACATTTTCACGCGAACAGATTGAGGCCATGGCATACTTAGCAAACGTGAAGCGTTCGTGTGATGATGGAATGGCGTTTACCAAATGGTTAACACAGGATGCAGCCAGCGCCATACCAGCAGCACAACAATCGACACTTCAGAGCATGGCAGAGGCCATTGCTCGCGCCTATCCCCAACATTTGCGTTGTTCACAAAGTAATTTCCTACGTATTTGCGAGTTTTTCGACCTCATGCAACCTCCAAGCTACTTTGTGGACGTGAACACTCATTCGAAAAAAACGTTGGCCTGCTGATGTTGTACCTAGCATCGTCTGGCAGCATGCAAGACACCGGACTTGCACTGAGTATATCTCAGCCTCATGTTGTAGGTACTATAAATGCGCTGCTTCAAATCTATGTAGACGCGCTGGTGACTACATTTACTTTCCGTCAACAAAGGTGGGTGGAATAAGATTAAGGATGCCTTTGGACACGTTCGGGTATTTTCATACGTGTGTGGTGCTGTCGATGGATCATTGATCGAGATTGCGCGACGCCGAGTACGAGGGCTGGTGCTGCATGGTTTTTACTCATATATTAATATGCAAGCCGTAAGTGACCATCGACGGCGTTTTATGGATTACGAAACGCGTCCAGGATCATATAGTGGCTTTAACCTCAACGTAGTTACGAGCATTGCTGAGAA